GTCTCTATATCCTTGATTGCTATGATCTGTATGTCCTTGGTTACTACCATCCTACTGTACTAGTTACAAACAAAGCTTTTCACAGTACTCAGGTACACGACAATAAATCAAATCAAATCAATCAATCCACCATGCATCCTGAGACTGTAACCCCTGGTTCTGGACTCCCTGGTCATCGGGAACATCTTACCTGCATTTACCATCCCCACCCCCATTCTTCTGATCTTCAGCAAATATAAGGGACCAACATAAAGGATTTAAGCTGCAGTCAAGCAGAAAGAGAAGGGGATCAATGGAAAAGACCAATGGGAAGAGTGAGGTCAGGGGGCCAGCAGGATATAGGAATTGGGAAACCAATGGGAGAGGTGGATTGGGACACCACAAGGAGGGTGTTCTGGGATCAATATGAGAATGGGACGGAGGGGAAATTGGACGGACCTCAGGCTGAAAGGCCAAAGGGAGAGGCTTGGGGCTGTCCCGCTTCCGCCCGAACCGCAGGCGGAACGTTTGTGTGGGCCCGGCCGAGTGTCTGTTCCGGGGGTGTCGATGTGAATGTGACACCACTGCAATGGCTGTTCTTCTCCGGCGCCTGGGCTTGGCTCGTCTGGGAGTTAATAACAACATCGGCTGTACAGGTATTAACGAGCATTCCCCCTCAGGGTGACCTGGGCGCAGCTCCCCGACTTAAATGGAGATGGTATAATTCGTGAAAGGTATTAATGTACCAGGACGGATGGGGAATATTGAGTTTCTAATCTCTCCACATCTTCCTGAAGAGAAGGAGCTGATGCTTATGGCTCCGAGTCTGATACAGTGACCGACAGTGAGATAATACACTTCTTTATGAATAGACTGCAGATGAGCTGAAAACAAACCCACCAGATAGTGTAAAAGCAAATGTTCTGAATCACAGCTGTGCTATTAACCTTGTATGTGGTTTCGTTGAGCCTGCTAAAGTATGTCAGATACTGAGGACTTGTATCTTTTGTTTATAGTCCGCGACAAGTGCATCAAGGAGCGTCCTAATCCGCAGATGCTGGTGCTGTACGTGATTTGTTCCATGTTCAATAACAGCTATGTCCTTTACAGGCCTATATCAGATTGATACCAAGGTTCTTCCTGCTGGACTAAAGACGTATGAGCTTCCTCCCCGTTATGATGGTGAGATGGAAGAAATTTTACACTGTATGTTATGCTTTCAGGCAGGGTTATAGTGAGAGTGATGGCAAGAACTCGATTTGATGGGAAGCAGGATAAATATTTGCTTTTGAGCAGTTGCTATGATAATGGTGTCATCCCAGTGGCTTGGTTAGTAAGTGCACCACATGGTATTATTTTACATCACATGAGTTGCATGTTTAACAGTTTAAACAGAAGTTGAGGTGCTGTTGCAATGTAGGGTGGGAGTTCTCACCCTTTTTTGCATCTGAGGTGTTCCCTTGGCTTTGAAAAATATCACAGGACCTGTCTAATACAAGTATGTTTTTGTACTGAAGTTCATTACACAACAAAGCATATTTTGTGAAAGAAGGGCACAGGCTTTTCAATATAAGTCTTTGCTGGGGCACGGTGAGTTGCTGAGATGGTCTGATTTGAAGGCTGAGAGTTTCTGTTTTTAGATGTGATCATCCCGGAGAAGCCAAAACTAAAATTCCTCAATAAAGTCCCTAACTACAAGAAACCCAGGCGGTGGATGAAAAGGCTGGGAGACATCCGTGGACCAGCAACACGGGCTAATACACTCACCCAGGGAGAGTACGGCATTATAGTAAGTATCTGCATTTTCCCAACTCGGAGACTCCAAAGGTTATTAAACTTTTATTTAAGTGAATAAACAAAAGTCAGTTTGATTATTGCAGTCAAGACTCCCCATTATAGTTTCACTGTCTGCCTACCGGGCCCTTGGGCATCAATCATGGTGAGAATGTGGAGGCAGGTTCATTGGATGTTTATTTCTATCTAAACAATGTGCAAGGGCATGTGGAAAAAGCAGGAGCTTGGCACTAGGTAGTGAGGCTCATTTGAAGAGCTAGGGTAGGCTCAGTGGGCCAAACAGCTCCCTTTTGTGCTGTAACAATTCTGTGAATCTCTGGGCATCTGCACACCAGCTCAGTTGTGAGCAGTCAATCGTATGACTTCACTTGCCCAATGAAGAGATGTCATATTACAGATTTGGACACCTGTATTGCACAACTTGATTCCCCAGGGTCAGATGGTCATCCACAGTGGGTCTGGTATTGCCTTTCCTGTTCCTGCTCCCAGTATCTCAGTGGTTATTTCTCGATCCTGCCTAAACTGAAATCAACAAAGAGGTCAGGGAATTTCCAAGATAACAGTAAATCATATAGGAGTGTCTGGGGCAAGGATGTTTTACACATAGGTGAGGAAGGGGGTGTACTCTGAACCAAAGGCACCTTTGTTCCCTTCACGTAAGCTGCAACGTTACGTCCAAACAACGGTTTTGTAATGAGCAGTGGGCTGCTAATATTGGCTCTAGAATCATAGAATCCCCACAGTGTGGAAACGGGCCCTTCGGCCCAACAAGTCCACACTGAACCTCAGAGCATCCCACCCAGACCCATTCCCCCTATAACCCACCTAATCTACACCTCCCTCAACACTACGGGCAATTTAGCATGACCGATCCACCTAACCTGCACATCTTTGGATTGTGGGAGGAAACTGGAGCAAACCCACGCAGACATGGGGAGAATGTGCAAACTCCACACACAGTCGCCCAAGGGTGGAATCGAACCCAGGTCCCTGGTGCTGTGAGGCAGCAGTGCTAACCACTGTGCGACCGTGCCGCTCTAGCAATTGCCTATAGTGGAGAGTGTGGACTGTGTTCAAACAGCAAGTTGAGAGGAAAAATAGGTTAGTTTACAGATAGTAAAGGAATAGTTTAACAAATAGATTAGAGAGCAAGAGATAATGATAGATGAAGTAAGTGGGCAAAAATTTGACAAATGGTATATAATGTGGAAAATTGTGAAATTGTTCATTTTGATAGGGAGAACAAATAGAGAGAAGCTGCTACACAAAAGGACTTGGGGATGCTTGTGCATGAAACACAAAGCTAGCGCACAAGTGCAGCAGGTAATCCAGAGGCTAACAGAAGGTTGGCCCTTTATTTCAAGGGAGTTGGAGTATGAGTAAGAAAACCATATTGCAACTGTGTGTTGGTGAGACCACATCTGGAGTACTGTGAACTGTTTTGGTCTCCTTCTTTGAAGGAAAGATATTATTTCATTGGAGGCAGTTCAGAGAAAGTTCACTAGGATGATACTTAGTAGGGAGGGATTGTCTTAAGAGCAAAGATTAAACAGGGATCCCACTTACTGGAGTTTAGAAGAATGAGAGGTGATCTTATTGAAATATATAGGATTCTTAATGTGCTTGATACGGTAAACACTGAGAGGATGTTCCCCCTTCATGGGAGAGCCTTGGCCCAGGGGGTATTGACTCAGAATAAAGGGACACCAATTTAAGATTGAGATGAGGAAGAATTTTTCTCTAAGAAGGTTGACAGTCTTGGCAACTCCTTGCCATAGAGTGATATGGGGACAGAGTCCTTGAGTATACTTAAATCTATCAATCTCAGCCTTTTGATTAGTTGGGGAATCAAGGCTTATGGGGGAAAGGCAGGAAAGTGAATGTGAAGAATGTCAGATCAGCTACAATCTCATTGAATGGCACAGCAGGCCTACTGCTGTTCTTATATTTTATGGCCTTTTATAGTTAGATGTTTCCTCTTGGGCAGAGAATAATGACCGAAGCAAAATCTGAATGAGTTGAACCTGAGCTAGTTAGAATTGCAGATGCTGGAGGCAGAGATAACAGTGTGGAGCTGGATGAACACAGCAGGCCAGGCAGCATCAGAGGAGCAAGAAAGTTGACGTTTCGGTTCGGGCCTTGTGTATGACAGTTCAATCTAGAAAATGTAGCAGTAATGAAACAAACCAAACTGTTCTGTCAAAAACCAGTTTTAATGCCAATATTCCATTAATTTCCACCATTCTCTTTCCCCTTTCTCCCTAAACTCCTCCCCTCACCCAACTTCTCCCTCCTCCCCTGCTGCCCCCCCATCTCTTCTACATTCCCATCCCCTCCCACTTCCCATGCTTTCATCTCTCTGTTCCCATTCTCCTACCCTCTGCCTCCTTTTGCCCTCCTCCTCCCTTTCACTCCTCTCTCTCTCCCAGGCTCTTGGAGGTGGTTATCTTCACTGGGGTCACTTCGAGATGATGCGCCTCACCATTAACCGACGAATGGATGCCAAAACCATGTTTGCTCGCTGGCGTGTAAATGCTCCATATAAACCCATTACACGCAAAGGGTTAGGTCAGAGAATGGGCGGTGGGAAAGGAGCCATTGACCACTATGTCACTCCGGTTAAATATGGCCGGATTATTGTAGAGTTTGGAGGTCGGTGTTCCTTTGAGGAAGTGGAACCGTTTTTATCAGAAGTTGCAAAAAAACTGCCCTTTCCCGCAAAGGCAGTCAGCAAGAAAGCCTTGGAGGATATGTTGAAGGAAGATGAGCAAAAGGCCAGAGACAACCAGAATCCCTGGACTTTTGCAAGAATTGCAACAATGAACATGATGGGGATCCGCAAAGTGTTGAGCCCATTTGACTTAAAGTATCATGGTAAATTCTATGGGAAATCACGCGTACCTAATCGTGTGTGAAGATTAAAATATGTGACAGAATGTTCTCTGTTTTAATCTGTTTATTTTGATTCAATAAGGGATATTGTATCAGAGCACGTTTTAAACACTTCCAATCTGCAAGTAGAGTGCATCCTCGGATTGGAAGGATCATGCCAAGGATTTGGAGAGTTCTAGATTCATGCTTACCAAGGGAATGTTAAAGGTGTTGTCTTTTGGATGATAATCTGAGGTTTAGTTAGCTGCACATCCATAATCCTCTTGCTGCATTCAAAGAGCTCTTCCTGTCCTGTGCCCACTCACTTCCTTCAACACAATTTGCCGTGGTGGGATTTGAACCTAGGACCCCAGAACATTACCTGGGTCTCTGGATTAACAGTCTAGCGATAATACCACTCTTGTGGATAGCTTTATAGTTTTAAAACTAATCTCTTTCCCTTTTTCTCACCACCTGTCCCTAACAAGTTCCAATTTAATTTTCTTCCTTTTTTAAACAGCGCTGCGATATTTCTCCAACAACTGTCTGAACTCTGACTTTGTAAAGCCCTCACCATACTGTAGTGTGGTTACATATAAAATGGGAGATTCTTTTTCATGTGTTGGGGATGCCGGTGATGAATATTTGCAACACATGCATACTTGCAAACATATGTGGAGATATCAAATGAAAAAGAATAAATAGATTATTCAGTTAGCAACAGCTTACTTGTAAAACAACTGAGACATAATGTTTGTCAGTGTCTTTGCTTATAAGATGGAGTCAGCAGTCTGAAGTTCCTTTAAGAATAATTGGCAGTTCAAGAATTGCGGATAACTTCTTCTCATTAAATTCCTTCAAAGGTCAGCTGAGAAATATTTCTGAAATGTCCTTGCTGATTTGCAGTTTTTGACAAAAGAAAGTTAATGATATAGAGCACAAAATGAACTTTTCCTGCCTTTTCCTTTGTAGCCTGAAGTTAGGGGTTTCAGTATAATAAGTGGATGTTGTATGAAGGATCTAATTGACAGCTATTTTAAAATGGTTTGGTTACCACGCAGTTGGATTCAGCACTGTGCCAGTCATGTGACCAAGCTTTTTTTTTGGTGGAGGGTCTGCTGTGAAGTGAGGAAACAGTTACCATCAAGACAAAAGCTTGTGTTGCAAATAATCAACTATCTATGGTGCCCCTCAAGTTGTGTGGAGTAATTAACATCTCCTTCCAGGACAGGGATAACTTGTGATTCTTTTGCAGCTGCTCATCTCTGTAATAATTTATAACAGAACAATTAACATTCCACTCCCCATCAGGAGGCACGTGAGATGTTCTTTGGCTGACTTTAACTTCTGAGAAGTTTTTGGAAGATTACTACTAAGTCCAGTCATGTGATTCTGGTCGCCATCTTTATTGGACTGTTCCATGTGTTTTTAAACCAGTCACTAAATATATCAAAAATATGTATAAAAGTTGGATGTTTTAATTCATTCATGACAATAAAAGTGAGTGAGAGTTTGTTAACCACTATTTAATTTGCACTTGTGTTTACACTTTACACATAGCTAGAATATCATCTCACTGCTCCCATATCTCATTGCTACATAGCCTTTGGTAACATCACCTAAAGATACAGCATTAATTTTTTACACAGGCTGATAGTACCCAGCTATACTTCTTCAACATGTACCTTGACTGCTTCATGACTGTTGAATTATTTCTGCTGATCAGACATTCAGTACTGGATGTGCAGAAATTACCTCCATTTAAATAAAGTCATTGCTTTTAGTCCCTTCTCTAAACCAACCCCTAACTACCAATTGCATACTGCACCCTGACAGCTGTCTGAGACTAATCTAAGACAGTTTGTAACCTTGGTGTCATGTTTGACCCAAATTGGATTTCCAAACATATTTGTCTCAACGCTAAGAAAACCTATTACACTTGTGACAGCACATTACTTAGCCCTTATCTCAGCTTGAAAATTTCATCCATGCCTATGTCACCTCTAGAGTTGATTCTTAAAACACAGGTGCCCAGATTTTACCATATGAACTCAATATGTATGTTTCATTCATCACTTGCTGACCTACATTGGTTCCCAGTTAACCTTGATTTCAAAATTTTCATCCTTATTTCCTGTTCCTTCCATAACCTTGCCCCTCTTAATCTGTCATCTCCAGTCCACAGTTTCTGAGACAACTATGTTCATGTAATTCTGACTTCTTGAGCATCCCTGATGTTAGTTGCTCCACCACAAGTGCATATGTCATCATCCTGCCTAGGTCACAAAACTGTGGAATTCCCTTACAAACCTCTACATATCTTTTGTTTATTTAAGATGCTCTTTAAAACTTACCTCCGCCCAAGCCTTTACCCATCTCCTATTTATGCGAGCTTGTGCTTTTTTTTACTTTGTAATGTTCCTGATAACTGCCTTGGAAGTTATATGGTGTTTAAACTTTCTTCATTGATGTAGGTTGTTTGCAAACTTACACTAAATCAAATTGAAGAACTTCTGAAAAATCAGTTCTTTAAAGAAACCAAAAACTAGTGGTTAAATCATACCCATTGCACTGTTTTTCCAAGCTAGGTTTTATCTCCAAAGTAAAACAAGGCAGTTTGCTTCAGTTTCTGTCTGAAACACCTAGTCATACCCTACTGCACAATGCTTTTATAATTCATTTATGCTTTCAGGGAATATAATTCCTCACTGGGAAAATGATGCTGGGGTATTCAGAGAAATTCACCATCTAGTGACATTCTGGAAACTACAGCAAAGAATGGTTGTCACTTGCTTCAGCTGACAATATTAAGCTCAGGCTACTGCAAGAGTCAAAAGCCTTCCAAATAAAAAAAAACTTAATGAAGGTTTTCAACAATGAAACATAACTTAATTGGTAAGAAATCCAACAGGAAATTCAGAAGAAAGAGCTTGGCCTGTGGAGTGATGAGAATTTGTAACTTGCTGACACAGAGTAAGAATCACAGAATGATTACGACACAAAAGGAGGCCATTTGGCCTGCTCTACTTGTACTGGCTCTTTACAAGAGCAATTCACTTTGACACTTTTCCGTCACACTGAATATAAAGAATGCATTTAAGAGGATAATAGTTAAGCACATGTGAGAAAGGAATTGGTAATTATGATAATAGATTTAAATAAGCAATGTTGTAACAAGGCTCAAGTGTAGCCTCTTTTTATTCTTTCATGCCGTATACGTGACTCTTGAGGCCAACATTTGTCATTTGACCCTAATTGCCCTTGAGGTAGTGAGTCACCTTTTTGAGATTGAGCTGTTCATGTTGTGCTGGTACACCAGGAATTTGACCCAGTGACAATGAAGGAACCCAATTGGGACAGTGTGTGACTTGGAGGGAAGCTCACAGGTTGTGGTGTTCCCATGTGTTTAATGCCCCTGTCCTTCCAGATGGTAGAGTTATCAGGTTACTGCCAAAGCAGCTTTGGTGAGTTGCTGCAGTGCTTCTATATAGGACACGCTGGAGGGAGCGAACATTTAATTTTAAATATTCAATTGTTTAAGTACTTTGTTCTGAATGATGGTGTTTCCAGTGCCTAAGTCAATGCCAGGTATTCAGTTAATTTTTTTTCTGACTTTTCTGTCGTGGTTTTGGTACACCTGGATTTGGAAGGCAGTTAAAAGTTAGTCATGTTGTTCTGGGTTTGGAATCACATGTAGGTCAGACCAGGTAAGGATGGCAGATTTTCCAGTCTAAAGGACATTAATGAGCCAGATGGACTTTTACAACAATTGATGATAGTTTCACAGCATCATTGCTGAAACTTGCTTTTAGTTCTACATGGTACTTTATTATTAATTGACTTTAAATTCCCTCAGCTGCAGGGTTAGGATGTGATCTGTATCCCCAGACATTACCACTGTGCAACTATCTTCCTATTGTTACTGTAATAGACTGTTTGGGGTGAATGGCCTGATGTTATGTCATATACCCTATGTAAGCATGTTATGAAATATATTTTAAAAAATTAGAACCCTATCTTGAGATCTTAATTTGCAGAATGAAGGCACATCAAAAATTTTTGGGATATTCGTGACAAATGCTTGATTTTATTTTCAACAAGGTAGCGGAAGAATAATTCTGTTGGATAATAATAAACAAACATCTGCATTTACCATCTACAAATTTGCTGATATCATAGCTGATGATTAAAGAATGACATATCTGTCAGGAAATGTGGAAAGAACATTTTCTAACAAATCGGCTTCTGATGATGCCTTCAGGAGTAAGTCATAGGTTTACAAAGATAATAATATTCTTCCTTTTAAAAAGCTAGTTATTCTTTTGCTAATTGATTCAGCTTGCATTTATATATAGCCTTTAATGTAGTGAAAAGTCTCAAGATGTTTTACAGAGCATAACTAGCCACAATTTGGCACTGAGCTAAAGAAGTTAAAAAAAAGATACACTTGGTCAAAGGTTGTTTTAAACAGTCTCTTAAAGGTGGAGAATGAGGTAGAAATGCTGCCTTCGAGTCAGAAATGTATTGATTTGCAAGACAGTGGGATGGGAATTCCAGACCTTACAGATAAGATAGTTGTAGATGCATTCCCAAAGATGTCAGGATAATTTAGGGACATGCAAGAGGCCAGAATTGGTGACACACAATCATTCAAAGATTGTGGGGCTGGAGGAGATAAGAAATGAATCAATCATGGAGAGATTTAACAATAGCATAAGGATTTTAAATTTTGAGGTTTTGCTGGAATGATTTCTAGTCAATAAATGCAGATGTGCTGGAAGTAACCATGACAGATAGGAATGTGAGTGGCAACATTTAGAAAGACCTCCAGTTTGTACAGGATGGCAGCTCCTGGATAACCTCAGAATTGTTGAGTCTGGAAGTTACAAAGGCATAGGTAATGATGGCAAACTGTTCAAACCTACGAGATCTGATTCTTATTCAATGAACAACTAGGTTATTTTATAAAACACAAGGTACGGGGCTATAGATGGTAAAGTTCCATTATCCTGTGTTCCCTGGAAGTTTTTGACACTTTTGTCAGTGCAACCCAAGAAGTTAGCTAATGGAGAGGAGGTTTTTAACGAGATGTAGTATTGCTGATATATTGACAGCAGATACCCCTTACACTTCACGGTGATTGAGATAATGACCTGTTTCTTTAGGATGTGAAACAAAGTACCAATGTTATTCTGTTGCTAGAAATGTCAACGTTTGCAACTTAAAGGCAATGGCATCCAAATACTGGCTAATTGCTTAAGGCAAGCAGTTACACAAGACCACATCGCCTAACATGCGATATTAGTAATACGTTGTCCAAAGGAATAACACTCAAACTGCAAATAAATGCATTGCTGAGTCAAAGTGACATGTAATTTTTAGATAAAATAACAAAAGGCTGTGAAAAGGTTTAGTTTATTTTAGAAATGATGATAGAAACCTTTGTTTTAGCATGCCTTCCACTTGCCTCTCAGATGCAAACCATCAATGGGGGGAGAAAAATGATAATGGGGGAACGAGACGAGCTCAGGTAAAGAAAAGCAAACTCACGGGCAACTCATTTGACCTCAGTACCATGATCATGGGAAGGGGAAAATTTGCAGGATATCCTCCACGCCTGATTCACATCCCAGATTTCCTGCTGAGGAAATTAAGCCTTGATCCATTGACCTCACACATAATGCCAGCTTTCAATGTGCTCATACTTGTCATTGAATCAGTTGTTGCCAGGATGGGACTGTAACCAAAATTTGTCAGGCTTTTCAGGTGAGAACTGTCTCAGTGCTAGGACTGACCAAAACCTCTGCTAATAATCATTACATTTACACTTGGGCTCTTTAACCAAGTAACCATGATATAAAATCTGAAAATAATAATGTGTATTAATTGGTGTAATTAATGTGATTGAGGAGTCCTGACACACCTTGGTATCAAATCCTTAAGAAGCTGAGCCTAGACATTGTCCTGAGTGACCCCTGGTTGAACTCTGAATTAAGGACTGCGGCTGACGTCATGACGCCGGTTTTCCCGGAAGCCGGAAGTGTTCCCGGAAGCGGAAGTGGACGTTTGCCCCGCAGGCGCTGATGCCGGGACCCGAGCGTCCGCAGCCAAAAGGCCCGAAACAGGGGAGGTAGGAACCGGAATGGGGGCCCGGGGACCAGAGAGAGAGAGAGAGCAGGGGATCAGGGGGAGAGAGAGAGCGAGTAGGGAAACGGGGCGAGAGAGAGTGCGAGTAGGGGATCAGAGGGGGGAGAGAGAGAGAGAGCGAGTAGGGGATCAGGGGG